GCGACCCCGAATACTGGCAAGCATATGGAGTCAGTAAAAAGGTCCTGAAGATAACTTTCGAAAAACAGCCTCCTGTCTCCCTTAGCAGCCTTTAAAATGTGTATATGTAGACTGCACTTATCATATAGAACAATATGCACAAATAAATAAAATATCCTATCTCGTTACTAAACACAAACCTGCAGCAATGATCTGCATAGGTTATCCTTGAGAAGCGGCACAAGAAAAGAGTAGCTAGCGAGGTGGTCCGCTGCGGCCTTAACAAGCTCATTAATTTCCTTTTCTCAGATTGATCCCATAGGTAACTCACCTCTAGCGCTACAGTCAGTAAGTTCAATCCAAGAATCACCATTGATTCCGTATTCTGACGATCCAAAGGATTAGAAAGAGCGATTAGAAATCTTAATGTATAACATAGCCTTCTGATGGACATTTCATAAGAACTACCCAACTACAGCAGAAGAACAAGCTACAGTCGTGGCCTTACCTGAGCAGTTCTCTACAACATGGCAAGCCCATATGGCATTTGTACGATGTTTCCACTTGGTTCTGTGTCTTCTTCATCATCTATCGACGACTTTTCCTGAACCGGAGCAGCGTTCTGTTGCCGGCTGGCGGTTGTGGCCTGGAAATGAAAAATTATGCCGTCGGTTCTCCTGCAGCAGCCAAGTTCCCAGTACACATAAAACCGGACACAGAATTGTTTTGGTTTGAAAATGAATGAGTCAGGAGTTCAACCTCTTTCATCGTTATTGCATCGTCTTCTCCTTCACTATCGGCTTCGTCGGCCTTCTCCTCCTCCAAACGCTTCTCTTCTAATGTGGGATCAGGTGCTGTGACTTTGTCAACCGGCGGATCGGTGGTCAACACCATATCATAACCTTGAACATGACGTTGAGAGGGTTTTGAAATCGAAATCGTCTGACTACTTAGCACTGATCAAATTTTTTTCATGATGATTTCCCATTAGAACTAAAACCTGCTTTCAGATGCATGTTTGGCCTATACAAAATATGGGTCATCTTTTTGTAAGAGGTCTATTCGATGTGAAGGTTCAGCTTTTCACCTTCCGACGAGCCCGATACCAGCTGAAAAACCCTGGTGAGATGACCGTTAGTGAGTATGAGCGAAATCTGATCTATGAGTAGATCATTGCGATCGTGGGTGCGGTTAGAGCGTCAATGCGCTTTCTAGCTTCCTAACTCTCTCCTCCCCGAACATAAGATGAGCCAATATAGAAAATGATAACGATAAATGTAGTATATAGTAATCAGTGAACAACTAAACTTGTCACAGATCACCATCTGCCTTTTACAAGTTGCGTAGTTCTGGTGGGGGCGACAAGGTTATCCCTGTGACGCCAGGACGGAATGTCACTTGTAGAATGAGGAATTTTGGCAACAGTCGTGTGGGCTGAACCACTTCAAGATCATCCTTAATAACGCTACTATGTGCAACTATAAAAGCAGCTAAAAACAACTAAGCAAAACAATGAAAGAATCTGTGCTTACCTTTTCACTCTCTGCCTCAGATTCAGTACGCCTTCGTCTTCTGCGACGTTTTTCACCTTTTGCATTCATAACCTAGATAAACTAACATCATATTCCTGTCACTAAGTAGGTTATGCTTCTATTTTTCATTCTAACTTATTCTCGTATAAATATTTACTACCCAAGTGCCTAATGTCAACCACTACCGTGGCATAAAAAAGCTAAAACAGCAGAAGTCACACGAACGTCTTTTTATGGGACTAACGAGAAGAAACTTCGAAATCAAAAATATGTAAAATAAAGAGAAAAACAAACAAAATATTACATGAACAAAAAACTGTGCGCACGGTCAAAATTTCAAAGAAATAATAATAAAATAAATATGCTATGAACATGAAAATTGGAGTACTCACCAATTTCCTAATATAAGGATGTCTAGCATCTTCATGGAATGTCGGTAATCTTGTAAATATCAACTGCGTCATATCACTGAGCGTAGCTTCAGCGGCTTTGCGCAACAATGGCGAAAGGTGCTGCTCAAAGACGATACGGAAACAGGATTGCATCATGTCACACACAGCTTCGTTGGACAAAAGCGATCCAGGAGGAGACAATAATAGGGAGCGAAGAACCTGCCGGAAGCGATTTGAGAAACAACTTTTCCATACACAACAAAGACGCTAGGCCTATGAGATCCTTACCAATAGAATTTTGAAAAGAACGCATTCATCACTGCCGCTGCTCTTTCCTCCAATGAATTTTGTATGAACTACTGCATACGCAACAGATTCCACAGCATTTGCTGCTTTAATACTGTAAATACAAAGCAACTGAGTAAAATCTGGAGGAGTACATCCCGTGAAAATTCTCCAAAGGAAACAAGCCTTACCTGTTCGCGTCTATAAGCCCGTAGCTAAGAAACTTCGCCACTGATGACAATGCTGCTTCCGTAATAGGCCCATTCGTATTCTGCGCTTTTATCACGTCAAGAAATGGTGATAGGTAAGTCAACGGGTTCATGTCACCCAAATCTGCTACCTTGAACATCAATTTATAAATCGCGACACAAGAAAGACGGCTAATTTGTAACCCGCGGTCACGACATCATCTACTATATAAACCTACCTCATTAAGCACTTCCTTTAGATCCGCAAAGTTGCGGAGAAGTGGTTCAGTATCTTCAAGAGATGGAGGCTGATGGGATAACTGATACTGTCTGAAAGTAGCGTTGCCAGGTACTATGTCAAAAAGAATAAAAGTTTTACTTTAGACTCAGAAATAAGTGAAAAACACAATTGCCAGAAGAGCAGCTTGGCCAATATTACATCTGATCAGTGACGGTCAGAGACTGTGTAACAAAAGGATTTTGGAGGGCGAACTATTTTTTGGCATTGAACCAATTCGTAGGCTGCATGTAGGGGCTGCTTCGTCATCGTATCTTTTTTATTACGATTTGCCTAACAAGGTTTCTAGGATTTTACAGCGCATGACATGACATAAAACGTGCGCGATTCCGACTGACTGATATCGTCGTTATGAAAACTGTAAAAGGGACCGCCCTCCAACCCTCCCTCCCTAACCAATCGTTTTCATTAGTTACTCGGACCCTAGACAAAATAGGAAAGGACCTTCCCCGTATTAGGGAAGAGGCTAATTACAAAACTGAATCAAGGGGCTAAACTGAGGTACATTACAATTAAAAATGGGTAAGGGTATAACGAATAGTCAAACCAACCTGCGCGCTTTGTTCAGCAATGCCACCACAGTATTAGCTTCGCCTAAAACGACGTATACGCCGTTGACGGCCATCGTGCCGTGCTACTCGATTTTCAGGGTATCGACTAGTCAACCTTAATCATTTTAGTGAGTTTGTTGCAACAGGAATAAACGTAAACAATGAAGTAAACTATCGCAAGGAGGAGCGAAAGAGATAAAGATCTGGGACAAGACAAGACAAAACAAAGAGAACAAATCATAAAATGAAAAAATGTAATAAACCTAGGTCATCAATACAATGTCGATCGCGACGATTTTTTTCAATCTAACAATTCAGGGCTGCATTAATCTTTATTTCTACAAATTTCGAAAGAACTGCAGATTCGAAAGGGTAACAGCAACCTTTTCGAGGTAGCAAGCCTCATCACACATCAAGCAATATACAAGGTTGTTGTAAGATCATCACATTGCCTTCAATGAGCTATATAATCGATTTCAAAAGTACCCGTAATGAAGCTAATATGATATAAAGCTCTAAAACTTAATGCCTCAAAGTCTGGCACTTTGACTATTATTTTCAATATGAGAACTAAGAACGAGGATAAAATTTCGATTTTGGGACATCAGCTTTAGTGTTTCGCTTCAAGTCTTCTTCCGACTCCCAAAACCAGTGATCTGACAGCCAACCAAACCTTCAAAATCAGAAAGTATTAGACAAAAGACGTACAGACACAGCATTATAGAAAAAAAAGCACCTGGAGACTGGCCAGATGCGGAGAGTAAGTCGAATTTGAACTAGTCCAAGTGGAACAGGTCCAAAATGCCGCGAATCTGTAGAAGCCATAGGGTTATCACCTTGCAGAAAGATATGTCCACGTGGAACACGTGCACTCGGTAGCAAGTCGGAGTTAACGGGATCGGACTCCTAAATCATTACCTATTAGGATTCAAGAAATGAAAGAAGATGAAAGTTCCATCGTTAGAAAAAGAACGAGTCCCGATATGAATTCTGAAATTGAAGTATATTCATATATGTGATTGATCAACCCAGCACACGCCATACATTATTTTTTCCTGCAGAGTCGCAGTGGGATCTAAATGCGATTTCACCTATGCAAGAGCTTAAGAAGGTAAGATGTACAAGTCCGTGATTCTATCCCCATAGCACCCTGATACCAATTACTCGCAGCTAGAGAGAACGGTCGAGTGAAAGATGGAAGGAGTCGTTAGCCTGAGCCA